ACCTGGAGCTGAGTTGCCGTGAGTCTCCAGCGACGGCATAGGCTGCAGTGGGGCTGGCCGGCAGCGGGTGTGAGCTTTCGTGAGCCACCGTGAGCAGCCATCCAATGGCCAGTGAGCAACTGCCTCATCCGGGAAAAGCGCAATGATAATACCAACTTGGGCCAGTGAAGCGACGTCCTCCACAGCTAGACTGAAGAACAAAAGGACAGCAACTTGTCTCTTCCCCTCACATGATTCCCCAACGCTGTTCCCCTCCCCCAATTCCCCAATAAAATCTTAAAAAAAAAAAGACAAATTCATAAACAGGAGAAGGGACAACAGCAACAAAATTTTTAAAGTCGGACAGTAGATTGTTGTCATAAATGACTTAGCAGATCCCAGAGGCAAATCTGAAGTTAGTGGGACAAACACCAAGTGCCTCTGGAACAAAGGGTGGAGACAGGTACCAAAATAAAGAGGTTTAGGTGAGAGCTGTTTCAAAACTATTTAGATCTCTAGATTCTCTGCTGCTGGTGCTCCCCCCTCCCTCCAGCGAGAGTCAAAGTTTATCCTTTAGAGAGAGAACACTGGGTCTCTGGACTGAGAAAACCCGGACACAGGTGTGGGTACTGCACTGAAAGCACAGGGATGTCCTCAGTCGCTCTGTTCCCCACTTGGCTCCCTGAGCACTGGAGACCAGGCCCTCAGACATGGTGTTGTAAAGACTCTTCTGTGGGAACTCTGAGCTCACCCCAGACAAGTCCACACAGATCACCTATTGTGAAGGCTGTTGTCAGTCATCTCCAACCGTGTACTCCGAGCTTTCAGTAAGCTCCTTAGGAAGTCCCACTCTCAGTTATGAGCCAAGAAGCCACTAGATTTCTGAGGAAGGTCTCTAGTGCAGAAGATAAAGACCAAAAGAAGCAACTGGGAAGAAACTATGACAAGCAAAAAACCAAAAACACAACAAAAATCATGAAAATCCTCATAAATAAGAAAGGATATTGCATCCTTGAAACAAAAATAGGGGGCTAATGCCAAAGTAAAAGGGATCACCCATATGAGATCAAGAGCTCTTAAAATTAAAAATATTATGGCATAAATCAGTTTAACTGGTGGTGTTTTTATTTCTTTTGGTGGTTATACCCGTTACTACAAATAATAGGCTTATACTACCATGTTTCCCCGAAAATTAGACCGGGCCTTATATAAATTTTTGCTCCAACAATCTACATTTATTCATGTACAAAAATCTACATTTATTCAGTCATGTCTGACTGACGATCTTAACTGGGGCTTATGTTTGGGGTAGGGCTTATGTTACGAGCATCCTGAAAAATCATGCTAGGGCTTATTTTCCAGTTAAGTCTTATTTTCGGGGAAACACGGTATTACATCACTTTAGACATTATCTTACTGTAGTAGATAAATACACTTATACTTTTCTATCTTCACTTCTGTCTTAATGTGGTTATGTCATGTAAAAATGATATTATTTACCTTTGGCCTTTAAAAGATACACTTAAATCTATTTCTTATTCTATCAACTATAAATCAGTTTCTATTTTAAATTCTCTCTCCACCTGTTCTTGAGTGTAGATGACTTATCATCTAGAATGGAAAAAGGAAATTCATTTAGTAAATAACTTTCATTATATAAAGTATAAAGTTTTTTTGTTTTTTTGCTGAGCTTTATTTTATAATAAAAGCACTCTTACCATCACACATAAACACATAATAAGCAGAGTGGGATATCTATGTTTCACTCCCTAGTTTTGCATTTTCAAGGCTGCTCTGAAGTGTAGCTCCTTTTTAGAGGAAAGGTCTGGACTTTCCCCTGGTAACTTCTGAAGTGGCTGAGTCTCTACCACATTGCTTTTCAAACCATTTGTCATCCAAAATAAATATTTCATAGCATGTTTGTGTATGTGTCTGTCTGTCCCTCTGCCTGCCTACCTATCTATCTACCTATCTGGAATAAAACCTCCTTAATCCATTGGACTAACTTGGCTTTCTCAGTAGTCTGAACTAATGTGTTTTCCTTCTTTCTTGATCTAGGCAGTTGACAAGTACTTCAAGCTTCCTCATGCTTCCAGTAAGCCACCTCGGACTTCAGGAAGCCTTGTGGACACTTCTTATAAAACATTAAGATTTGCATTTAGAGCATCATTAAAAACTGCCATCTATCGAATAACTACTACATTCGGTGAACATCTGATGTAAGTTTATCTGTTTTGTTCCCTGATGGTAGCCCACTTTCAGGAGATCCCCTGAGAAATAGGTATGAGAATTACAGAGGCTCACATGCTGAAAGTGTTCTTTTGGCACCCTCTTGATTCTTACTGGGAATTAACAGGTTGGATTTAGACTTAATATTTATATTTTAAAACTTGGCCTCTCATAAGTTTTGGGGCCTTGTTTCAGATGGGCAAAAAAAGATAGAAAGTTATAAAAGCAGCAAATATAATCACATATCTTTTTTTTAATTACCAAAACATCCTTAAGGGAGAAAAAAAGCAAAAAATTCTGTTGCATCTTGGTCACTGAGACGTGGGTGAGAGAGTATTCCATAAATGAGTCCTTGGTGCTTTGTGAATCATGCTGGAAAAACCATGACAGATCACAACACCTTCAGACACGGAACCAGAAAGAAAACCACAAATGCCAAACCTGTTTATATTTAGTTTCATTGATGTTTACTGCTTTCCTTTCATGAAATAATCTAGCTAGGCAGGATAAGGGATACTAGTTTATTAACTAAACTATGTTTATCATAAATATAAATGAACTTTAGGATACATGAGAGATTGGTCTCCTTGTCCGTATGCAATCAATAAATAGTTTAGAACTTCCTCACACACCTGCTTTTATAAACAGTAGAATGTTTTCTTTTACTTCCATAATTCCAGGTAGCAGCAGTAGCAAGTTTTATGATAGGCACACGTTGGTGTTGTGTAGGAATTCAAGAGAGCTATAGATAACCCTCTGTCCTTAAGAGGTTTATTCACTTGTTTAAAAACAAAATCTATTGAGTGCCTTCTAACATCTGCGCTCTCCAATATGATAGCCATGTATGGCTATTTAAATTAATTAGAGTTAAATAAAATGTAAAATGCAGTTTGTTAGTCACACTGGCCTCATTACAAGTCCTCAATAACTTCATGTGGCTGGCTAGTCACTTCTGTGTTGGACAGCTTAGATACAAAACATTTTCATTGTTGCAGAAAGTTCTGTTGGACTACTGTTCTAATACACTTAGCATTTTTTACATTTGTTTTCTTCATTTACTCTTCTCAAAGAGCCTGTGAGATGTATAGATTATCATAATTGTACAAATATGGAACCTGAAACTCAAAAAGACGTTAAGAACTTGCTAATAGCACAATCCAGTGAGTGTTAGAACATGAACCCCAAATCAGGTCTTTCTTGCTTTTAAACTTCCATCTTTTCCTGCGTACCACCAGACTGCCTCTGAGATGTAAGCTGCCATGCAGAATACTCGCAGAAAACACTTGATGAATTCAGAGAATGAAATAGTTATGATGTATATTGATGATAGAGCAAAAAATAGGGAGAAAAGGGAAAATGGAGATTTCTTAGATAATAGAGGGAGATAAGTGACTGATAAATTATGAGAACGAAACTCTGCCTTAGTTTCTTTTCTAGAGCCATGTTTTATATATGCACTAAAATAAATGCGATAAGTAGAGACTATTTTGTACAAATATAGGGCAGAACGATATGGTGGAAAACATGTTAGATTTGGAGTTAAAAACATTTGGATTTATGCCTTACATTATTGACTATCTGTGGTTGTGGACAAGTTACCTTATGATTTAAGTAATTTGCCCAAGTTATGCAGGTAGTAAGTTGCAGAGCCAGAATTCAGACTCAAATTTTTGTGACTATAGAGTTCCATCTCCAGTGTCAGTACTATTAACCACTAGGCTGTGTTGTCGTCTCCCCTAACCTTTGAACCTTTCTGCTACTGTTTACCCTCCCATGAAAAGGGTATGTTATTCATCCCACTTTGTTCCATTTGCTGTTATTAGAGGTAAAATGGGATCATATGTATATAAAGTCCACCCTGTACATTATATATTGTTGGGACAACAACTATTACTGTATAATAGTAGCTAATTTATTCATTATCCAAAGCTCCACCTTTGAGAACCAGGTATAAGTGAAGTAAACTCTGGAGGCATGAAAATTAACACAGGCCAGTTACTCCTTGGAGACACTCCTTCAACACCTATTTACTTTTTCTTTTTTTAAATTTATTTTTCAGTTACAGTTGACATACAGTATTATATATTTACTCTTAAATTAGGCAAATTTGATGTACTGGTTTTCCAGCCTGTAACATATTAACTTTGAGGGGAAGAGACAGGAGTACCATTAGAGTCAGAAGCACTGACGATACTAAGAGATAGTGTAGTACCTGCTAGCAGAGGGAGGAGTCAGGGGAAAAGCTGCAGACTTGGTGTTTGAGAGAGTTCAGAGCCATTTAGTTAAAGGTGACAGCCTCACTAGCACCTAGACAGAATCTGCACAATAAAATACTTCAAGTGGTTTAATTAGAGGCAGCTACATGGTTTAAGAAAGCAGAGACATGTATGTATAAGGTCTTTTAGAATGATTTGTAGCAAAATTATTATAATAAGACTCTGGCACTTTTAAAAGTGGTGACCTTCAGTCACTGGCATTTTATCATTCAGTGATCATATATTACCATTCAACAGCTAGAAAACCAGAATCTTTCATTGTATTATTCCCTTTTTGCCCAGAAGTTTAAGAGGAAGTTTTATACTAGTTTCAGTATATATTTGCCCAATTTTGTCAAGGTAATGTATTTTTCTGGGGGCGAGGGTGGGGAGAGAACTCAATTTCCCTATCCAAAACATAATTTATTTTCAAAGGGAAAAGTAAATCTAAACCACTGAGCTGTTACCTTTGAAAACGATTAGTGGAGTCTATTATGTTTTAACCAAACATTTCAGTTTAAAGGATTTTATATTAAAGACAATTCACATGCTCCACAACTCAAAGATAATGTTGGGATCTGGTTTAAATAAAATAATAAAATCCAGAAAATCCGCAAGCCCTGGAACTCTACCCAGCAGGTTCCACAGCAGAGCAGGTTAAAATCGATGCCTTCACTTGTCAGTCTTAATTTGCTTTGGTCTTTCAGAGGGTGGAAGCATGCCATTACCGAATGCAAGCCACCCTCCTCATTAGATTAAGAAGGGTTTTCATCCAACTTTTTCAGAAGTACTAAATAAGTGAAGATTTCTATTCATTTTTAATTGTTTTGAAAAATATTGACTCTGTGCTCTGTGGTTCACTTAATATGCTTAATGTAAAATAAAGCTTATGCTTTGAATTTATGTTTCATTTAGTGCTGTGCAAGCATCTGCAGAACATCAGAAAAGACTTCAACAGTTCTTGGAGTTCAAAGAATAGTTAAGTAATATAAACTGTGTTCATTACACTGCTGATACAACTACAGATGGGACAGTAAATGTTCAGCATTCTTGGATCAGAAGAAAATGGACTAATTAGATGCTTCCTTTGTCGTGGTGGTTGCTTTGAAAACTATACTTTAATGGGAGAAATCATGGAAAGAAATTCTCAACAGAATAACTGAAAACGGCCTTTTCTGTACCAGTTGCTTTTTGTGTGTGTGGTATAATAAAATCTTTATTCAATTTTACAGAAGCATTTATGGCAGTAGAAATGTCTCTAGCTTATATAGCTTAATCATAATAACTAGAAAATTTTTAGAATTTACTTTTGAGAGGGTGAGAGCCAGTTCAGAAGGTAGAATAGGTTGTCTTGATCCAGTCTTCCTTTCTAATTGTTATGAGAGTTTAGCTTTCTCTAAACTCAAAATACATAAACTTCTTTAGAGAAGTGTCTGTTTACTAAAGGATAAAAATGGTAACACTGAAGAAAAGTTCACAGAAAACATACTGTCTAAAGGACATATTTTGTTAATCTGTTAGGTTGTGTTTTTGTTTCCAGGAACAAATTAAATTTGCATGATTGTCCAAAAAAGCTCTCAATTTACAGATGCTAACTCTATATAAAAGAATGTGGAAAAATTCAGTTCTTAAGTTACAAGATTAAACATTCACATTTGGTTTTTGAAAGACAATCGACTGGCATCTATGAATTTATTTTGTATCATGTTAGTAAACAATACGTATATGGTTATTTTCCCAACTAGTTTTGCTTTCTTTTTCTGGAACAAAACATTAAGTGATTGCAGAGTTTTTTAAGTGAGAGAAAAAAATTTTGCAAGAAAAAACCAGGAAACTTTCCTTTTTTGTCCCACCCATCATCTTCATTAGATCAAATTATTTTGTGAAGCTGTTTTGGCCTTACAGAGGGAGCTGTCTTTGCTGTGTTAACTGGCTAATTAAAATATATTAGGAAAATCTTTACAGCTAGAAACAACTTAATCATCAAATAGCAAGCGAGTCTAAGATACCAAGGAGATTACTTGAGAGCATGTTGTATGTCCCAAAAGTGCGCAAGGTGATTTTATAATTTATTTGCTTAACTTTTTTGGAGATGAGAGATTGGAAATCCTACTGGTATATACTCCCTGGACTAACTTTGGACTGAAATACTCCCTTGTAATTTTTTTCCTATTATCTTTTTCCTCTAGTGACCCAACATTTTTTCTTTAGTCAGCACAGTATTGTATATGAATCTTTTATGTGGTACGTATGTCTACAGTTTGTCTGATTACTTGATATATTGTATCTTTATTCCCTTTATTTGTTGCCCCTTCAGCCAGCACATTCCAAATTATAAATGAATCCTGATGGCCTTTAAAGTGTCTTTATGAGACAGTTCCCCAATTGTCAAGTGTTTGGAGGATTTAGTCTTGTCATTGCTTTTTGTTTTTTTTCTCTTCCCTGAAGTGAAGTTGATCTCTCTTTTTTTGAATATGGAAGTTCAATCTTGAATATGGTAGTTACAGATAACCAGAAAATTGTGTCTAGGTTGATTGAGAGCTGTTGGGTTCCGTGTTTTAAATGCATTGAGCTTTATATATTCCATTCTCTGTGCTGCCCCTGGCTGAGGCATTTTGGGGAATATAGGACTCTTCACCTTCTGCTTCTATTAAAGAATTGTGGTGTTTAACCTACTGGATTCCTGAGGACGATGGGATGATTCCTTTAAACTTCGACTTAGATAATATGTCTGGCTAAGTTTAAATTTTTGCCATTTCCCAGATACTTAGGGCAAAGGCACCTTTGATGAACAATATGAAAATTTTTGAGGTGTTCATTCCTATTTTCTCTGCAGAGAGTGCGCTTTGTACAAAGTATGGGTCATATAAAGTGAAACTGCCTTCCCAAATCTGGATTGTATTTAGTTGGTAAGGGAGTCTGTTCAGTTTTTCCCCATTGTGTGCTGGTAATCTCCACACCATCTGTTGGGGTAGGGCTAGCTCAATCACCTGTTATTAAAAAGAGCTGCTTCTCCTATGTACAAGGAGGAGGATCTTAGGAAGGCCGAGAGGAGAGAAGCATTTGCTTTGATGAAGTCACATCTTGCCTCTGAGCCCAGTGATGCTCTAACATTGGCCTGAAAATTAGAGTGTAGTACTTTAAAAGCTTTTCTCTGTCAGTATAAAACACGATTCTATCAGCCCTTGTAATGTTTGCTTGACCCTTATGGAAGGTATAAATCTATATAACTTCTTTTCTAGAGAACCAGGAAACTGCCCTAGAATAAACTTTGTGCAGTTGAGCGGACATGGATAAGTAAGAATTTGTTACTTTGCCAGATTTGTTCTTTGGTAATTGTTTTGTATGTCTTCCTGTAAATATGGTAATCTGTTTATATCCTTTTGTATATCACCGACACTGAATTGGGTAGACAAATAAATTGACATTTAAAATAAAATGGGACTGTTAATTGAAATTTGTGTATCTACAAGGTCAATTATTTAATTTCTGGTGTGTGCGTTTCCTTAGCCGTTTGGATTCCATCTCTACGTCATTGCTTATAAAACCTGAAAAGGTTTAACTTCTTGAGAAATCAGCTTTTGCCCATAACTAGAGTAGTTTGGTGGGTGATCGTTGTTTAATGGTAACTTTAAGGAGCCTGAATTCTGAAAGTCTCTTTCTTCGTTGTCTTGGCCGCCTGTCTTCCAAAACTAAACAAAGGAGGCAGGTGCTGAAAGACATCTCTTAATAGAGGTTTCTTTTCTTGCCAGAGTAGTGTTTCTAAATGGATCATATTCCCCCAGGCTAACAGTTATGTCTGTCAACTTGACTTAAATTAGTCTGAACTTGACCTCAAGGTAGTTGAGGTACTATATTAAGGCCTTCAACTCCCTCTTCTGCTCTCCCAATGCAGTCACCTTTCTTTAAAACCAAGTCATTTATAACAAAGATGGCGTGAACTTATCAGTTAACAATCCAGTTATACTTAGCAAGCTGTTGACCACCGTTTTTAAATAAGTAAAATCTTTATTGTTTTGAGGGGTCTGAGGTGGGATAGACAGGCACACACCCCCTACAGCTCTCAGTCATGGTCCTAGGCAGCCTCGGCAGTTGCTGTGGACACGGAGCTAGCTAATCAGTCACAAATATTCACTGAGTCTTTGTTATGGGCCAACTATTAGAAACAAATTGAGCTGTGAACAAGACAGTCCTTGTCCTCAAGGAGTTTATAACTGAATGCAGTGGCATTTAGAACTTGGAATCAGAAACATTAGTTGAGGTGCAGAATCTGGACTCCAGTGCAGGCTCTGCTTCAGGAGGTCTGGTTGATTCCCAAGAGCTGTCAGAATCACATGGTGAGAAGGGTTTATCATAGATCAGGAGTTAACCAAGCTTTACATGCATTCAAATTGCTTGGAAAGCTTGTAAAAACACAAATTACTGGGGCCCACCTCCAGAGTTTCTGATTAAGTCTGGGGTGAGGCCCAAGAATTTGCATTTCTCCCAAGTGTTGAGGTGATGCTGCTAGTCAGAAGACTACACTGAGAATCACTGCTCGTGTGGTGTTCTCTCACGTGAGTGAAGCATATGAGCTATCATTTGCTACCAGGTAGAATTCTTCCATCTGATTTATTTATTGGAAAGCTTGAAAAATATGTTAGCTCCCATAGGTAAGGCAGGAATGCTGAGAAATACTCGTATGCTTATCTTGAAGTCGCAGCAGGTGATAGGACATAAGTTGCTCTTTGATATCATTATGCGCTTGATGGTGTTCTCTTTGCCTGATTTTCTATCTGGGCATCTCATTCTTCATAGTGACCTTAGCCTTCCCACACACTCCCAGAGATTGCGATGAATTTTTTTTCAATGCTCTGTCATTCCTTTTTTTTTCTTTAAAAAAAAATATTTTCTTGGGGAAGGGGAACAATATTGGGGAATTGGGGAAGGGGAGCAGCCAAGTTGTTGTCCTTCAGTCTTAGTTGTGGAAGGCGCAGCTAACCCAGCTGTAAGTCCGGTTGCCATCCGGCCGCCTGTCGGCAGCTCAGGGCCGCTCAGCTCAAGGTGCCGTGTTCAATATTAGTTGCAGATAGGGTTAGCCCACCATCCCATGCAGGAATCGAACCAGCAACCTTGTAAGGAGCATGTGCTGTCTCCAGGTGAGCCATCCTGTCACCTGTTGGCAGCTCAGCTTGGGTGCAGCTCACTGGCCCATGTTGGACTAGAACCGGCGACCCTGTTGCTCAGAGCTTGCGCTCTTAACCAACTGAGCCACTGCCCCTGTCATTCCTTTTTTTTTGGACCTTATCACACTGAATTGTAACTTAACTGATTACATATCTGCTTCCCTTTGGAGACCCCTTCCAGGATTCCAGTTACAGTTTCTCAGTATATCATCTGTGTCTTAACCAGTCTTCTCTAATAGTTTTTACTTTTCCATCAATGAATGCTGTGTAGACTATGAGCTCCACTAACAATAGTTTCCCAATAAATAAGTGAAAATCAGCGGAACTTTGTTTACGGTTCTGAAATATAAAGGTTGTTTTTTTGTTTGTTTGTTTTTTAATGGTAAGTTTTGTGACAAAATTTATTTGGCAGCTAAATCTGACCTTAACCTATGAGAGGCTGTTTGTAGACTTAATGTATTCCACGTAGTATGACTGTGCTACTTTCACTGTAGTATATTTGATTATGAGGTGCTGTCCCAGACTCCATGGGAGTTGTATGTAATATGCATCACTATTACCTTTCTAAAATCTGAAAAATTTTGTATTCTGAAACTTCAGACCTCAGAAGTTTAAGACAAAACCTGGTAGACTTGCTTTTTTAGAATATTGTTAATTCTTCCATTTAGTCATTCAGCATTCACTCACTGCCTGCTGTATACCAGGTTCTGTGATAGGCATTGATGGTACAAAGTCACAGACCTTGCCCCCAAAGAACATACCACCTTGTGTGGGAGGAGTAAGTAGAGACAACCTTTGTTTTATGTGTGTGTGTGTGTGTGTGTGTGTGTGTGTGTGTGTGTGTGTAAAATTTGAAAAGAGCCACAAATTTTAGGACCAAAAAATAGAATAACTAAACAAGTCAGTAGATAGGTTTACCTGCAGATTAGACACAGCTGAAAAAAAATGACTTAGAGGGTAGGTAGGTCAGAAGAAGTTATCCAGACTAAAGCATGGAAAATAAAAAATATTAAAATATAGAAGACAGGTTAAAATACATGATACAATGGGAAAGTTTATAAGTATAATTAATTGGAATCCTGGAAAGAGATGGAGCTCTAGTGGAGCAGAAGCAATTTTGAAGATTTAATAGCAAATAACTTTATTAAATGGATGAGACAACAAGTCACAGGTTGGAAAAGCTCTGTGAACCCTAAACAGATAAATAAAAATGCACACTGAGGTATAGCATAGTAAGAGTGCTAAAAACCAAAGATAAAGTCTTAAAAGTAGCCAGAGGAGAAGAAAGACCACTTTTAAATGAGCAAAGCTAGACAGCTAACTTCTCAACAAAAACAACCAAATGCAATGGAATAAGTACTGAAAGAAACTTACTAGCCTAGAATTCCATACTCAGCATTAATCTACAAAAATGATAGGGAAATCGAAATATTTCCAGACAAAAGCTGAGAAATTTCAACAGGTCACATTAAAAAGAACTTAATTTATAAAGGTAAAATTTTCAGGGAGAAGAAGGACAGAGAAGCAGGAAATTAAGAGCAACAAAAAAGGTAAATATGGCTGTTGACTTAGAAAACAATAATGTCTGATTAGGTTTTTAAAAAATAGAGAATTAAAGCACACAACACAGTGGCATAGAAGTCAGAATATTTGGGAGTTAAATATCCTAAGGTTTTTACATTGTCTGAAAAGAGAGTAAAAGTGCCAACTGTAGATTTTTGATACATTAAACATGTGCATTGTAACTTAAGAATAATAAACTAAAAAATAGTTTAAAACTTTCAAGCTGAGACCAGGAAAGAATGGAATAATAAAAAATAATCTAAAAGAAAGGAAGCAAGAAGGAAAAAGAAATCTGTAGTAGGCAGGACAAAGAAGGTGCACATAGTAAGATGTAGATTTAAACCAAAATACATAAGAAATTACATTAAATGGATTAAGTGTTCTGATCAAAAGCAAAGATCATCAAATGAAATAAAAACCCAAACCCAACTGCTTGCTGTTAACAAGACCACATCTAAAACATAAGGACAGATATATTGAAAATAAAAGGATAGGAAAGATAAGGAAATACTAAAAGAAAGCTTGTATAGCTGTATTAGTTATTGACAAAGTATAATTTAAGGCAAAAAGCCTGATTAGAGACAAGGAGGGGCACTTCAAAATGGCAAATAATTCAATTCATTAGAAAGATACAGTTCTAAATGTTAACGTACCTAACGGCAGAGCCTCACAGTACATTAGAACAATATAGGTGAAAAGTGAACAAGCACTTTAAAAAGAAGGGTATTCAAATGGCTTATAGGAGAGGGTAGGTATTAGCACCGTTAGTTATTAGGGAAACAAATTTAAACTATACTGAGATACCACAACACACCCATCAGAAAGGCTAAAAATAAAAAGACTGACAATGACAGGTGTTGATGAGGATGGGAAGCAACTAAAACTTGCCTAAATAATTGCAGGAAGGAGTGAACAAATGGGCCATATCTACTGAAGTTAAACACACCTATCTTCGAATCTATCAGATTGCACTAATTGGTATATGCCCAAGAGAAATGAGTGCATATGCCTACCGAAAGTCATGTTTACAAGATGCTTATAGCAAGATTTTTCACAATAGCGCCCAAATTGGAGACAATTCAATTGTCCCATCAATAGAATGGATAAATTGTGCTATCTTTTACAATGTAATTTTAAATAGCAGAAAAGAATGAATTACTGTTACGTGAAAATATGAATGAAGCTCATGGACATAATATTAAGCAAAAGAAGCCAGATACAAAGGAATACATACTGTATGATTGCATTTATATACATGTCAGGAATAGGTAAAACTTCATGTTGTCACCTACAGTCACAATAGTGGTCATGGTGAGAGGGGCAGCACATTGCCTTAGAAGGGCATGAGGAAACCGGAGGTGCTGGAAATGTTCTATATCTTGATTTGGATTATGTGGGCATGTATATATAAAAATGCATCAAACTATATGTAAGATGTGTGTACTTCATGTTACATACACCTTATGTTACACATTAATAAAATACCTAGAAGCAAAAACGGACAGAGCCACAAGGAGAAATAGACATCCACAATTATAACGATATTTTATATACTTCTGATAGAACACGTAGATTGTAGAAATCAGTAAGGATGTAGAGTATTTGAATGCCACTGTCAGCAAACATGACCTAAATGGACACGTGGAACACTGCACCTAACAATGGAAGAACATGCATTCTCTTCAAGTTCACATTGAACATTTACAAATTGGGCCATATGTTGGTTTATAAAGTAAGTCTCAACAAATTTTAAAGGATTAAAATCATTTAGAGTATGTTTGTAAGGCAGTTAAAGTAGTAAGGATCAATTAGAAATCATAATTAGAGCATTCTATATGTTTGGAAATTAAGAAACACGTTTTTTAATTTCCCACAGGTCAAAAAAGAAATCACATCAGTAGGAATAAGAAAAATGTTTTTATAGGAGTGATAATAAAAATACATGTGGAAACTTGTGAGATACAACGAATGCCAAGTTCAGAGGGAAATTTATTTATACCCTTAAATGTATATATTAGGAAAGAAGAAAGCTGAACATCAGTGAGCTGATGATCATCTCAAAAAGCACACAGTGAGTTGAATCACTTTAGTCCTTAACACTTCTATACCTTTTCAATGCACATGTTGTAATGTATTATAATTACCAGTTTACTTGCTCTCACTGGAAACAGTGATCTGTGAGCTCTTGGGGTTCATGGATCATATTTTACGTTTTGTATCCCCCGTGCCTATTAAAGTACCTTGCACACTGTTGATACTTGTTTGAACTGAATGCACTTCAGTGTCTTAGGGTTGTTAGAAGCCCAGGGTCTCAAACTCAAGTGTTTACAAAAGCCAGGCAGGTGATAGGATGAGTGAGGCCGATGTATGGGGAATGGGGAGCATGTGCCCCTGTGACTGACTGCTGCTGCTGCTGCTGCTGCTGCCGGGCCCTGGTTGATTGTTGCTGTGGGAGAATGCTTGCCTGGTATGTCTATCTCCCCATTTGTTTATACGAAGGCAGAAATTCAGATTTTGATGTGAAATCTCCATTTTTAAAGAGTTGGAAACTAATTAATTAAAAAAAAATACAGCGAGTGCCAAACCAAATTACACAGCCCTATGGCTGTCAGTTTGCAACCTCTGTTTTACTTCACACCTTTAAGAGGTGGGAATGTGTTTCATGTCTAAATATTCCAGCCAATAGACTCTTGAGCTGCCTTTTCCATCAAGTGTATTTCTGCCTGAAGAAAAGGGTCGTGACTGCTTCCTAATGGGGTTTCTGGGTCATATCTGTAAGAGGTTTGCAGAGTTTTTTAAAGCCTTCTTAGTAGTGGGCTGTTTACCCCAGCTGAATCAGACATATGTTCCCAAAGATTTTTTTCCCTCCTTTTGTTGTAATATTCTTAATGATGCATTCTGACTTTTTCACTCTGTTTTCTACACATTTGTCACCACTTCTGCTTTTGGACCTTCATGCTGGAAAATCTGAGGCTTACATGGAAGATTGATTTTTAATGCCCCTTGTGTTGTTTTTCGGCTGTAACATTTGCATGCAATTATAACATTTTAAAAATAGGAGACCACGGGGTTTGAAAAAAAGAAAGAATCTTCTGGGCAGATGAGCAAATGGAAAGGCCAGCCTTTAATTTTGTTAACATCCCAATTACATCTTGGTAACCCTTGTGACGATTTCTGTCCCTTGTAATGCAACACCTGGTTTTTGTTCCAAGCACAGGGACCAAGCCTGGCTGACTCAACTCTTGTTCTATCATGAAAGCATTGGTTGGAAAGCTCATAGTTTCCACGAGCCAGCAGAGGTCACTATTTCAAAGTTGTTTGAGGAAAAATTGTCTACAGTCCATAACACTTCTCTTTTGGGGAGGTTTTTTATTCATAATCCTGGTGGGAGATTTTTTTATTTGTACTTTCTGTATTTTCAAATGTTCTTTATAAAACAGTTGTTTTTAAATAGTACATTTAAAAGTGCTCATGGCTTGAGTGGGTTTCTGGAGATCATTGCTTATGGGAGTAATAACTGCTACCATTTATTGAGCACCTACTAGGTGCTGTACCTTGTGCTCCACACTCTACACACATTCTCTTTAATAGCCATTTATCTTTCAGGGTTGTTGTGAAGTTTACCTCAGTTTTGCAGAAGAGGAGCCTGAGGCAAGAGAAGTGAGATAATTCGCCCAAGGACACTGGATCTAGTGGAGATGGGATTTGGATCCCATCTGACTGGCAGGGAGATCTGTCTTCCAAGTGAGAATCTTAATTTTCTTGGGAGCTGTATTTTTTTTCCCCAAAAAAGGGATATATTAACAGCTTGAAGCAACAATCACCAAGAATGTTTGAGGGGAGTATGTATTTTTGAAGTAAAACTTTAGAAATAGCTTGCAGTTTTTTCCTCTGCAAATTTCAGCCTATTTTCTTGAAGAAGACTTTACTTCTTAGTCTCCTTTGAAAATAGGAACTGTGATGTCCTGTCAGGCTTTGCTACTTCTCCACATGAAAACAAATATTAGTAATATAGTGTCTCCAAAAACGTCTCAAGCTGACGACCTATTTAGTGAGTAAAGTTTACTAAAGAGATTTCTTACTTCATTTTACAAGCCCAACGGAAAACTTCCCAACTTTGAAAAGAAATAGACTGTGAATGAAAAGATAAATCTGTTTTAGTGGACTTTTATTTATTCATGTTTGAAAATATGAATAAATCACCAGGATTTTCCATAAAGCTGGAGAGTTATGAGAGGACAGCTGTGTTCATCACCAGATAATGAGTGGTCCATTTGACCCCCCTGTTCTCACTGGAGAGGTCATGTGAGAACAGTAAGAAAGGGCTTTGTATCTTTTGGGATGCCGTAAAGGGACATTCGGTTCTGAGTCAGTCTTACAAATTGGCCTGGCATGCTGCTATTATTCTTATGTCAAGTTTTTTTAATGTTTTGTGGTTGCTATTAACTATAATTATTATTGGAACAGAAAACCACATTATCCTTTTAGATCGTCTTAATAAGATGGGGCTGGCTAATTTTTGTCATCAGCAGACATTTAACAAGCTTTCACAGGGAGAGCGAGTAGCTCAGGGTGGCAAAGCGGAGGCTGTTGTAAGGGGAGATAAACAGTGAATGTAATTAAGCGGCATGTGGTGGTGAGTAATCTCGAGAGCCAGGAGAAAGTTGGGTGGGATTCTGTTTTAGATACCTGGTCAGAGAAGGCCTTCCTGATAAAGGGATGTTTAGCCAGAGGCCTGAGTAAGGTAAGAGAGCGTAAGTGGGTATCTGGGGGAAGAGTTCCAAAAAGCAGAAGGACCCTGAGACTAAGAGCGTGCCTGATAAGTTCAAGGGACAGCAAAAAGGGCCGGACGCTGAGCACAGTGGGTTAGGGGAAGAGTGGTGGGTGGGGTCAGAGACACGGGAGGACCTGCTCATGTCAGGCCTGGGAGGCTACAATAAGGACTTTGCTCTTGACTCTGAGTCAGAGGCAGCCATTGGAAAGTTCTGAGCAAAGGAGTGACATTGGCCCACTAATGTTTGAAAAAATGAAGTCTGGCTGTCCTGTGGAAAATAGATGGGGGAGTGAGGGTGGCAGGTAAGAATGACAGCAGGGAGCCTAGTTAGGAGGCTACTGCTGTCAACCAAGTGAAAGAGGCTAGTGACTGGAACCAGAGTGACAGTGGTGAAAGCCATGACAAACAGGTCTGGGGCTACAGTGAAGGAAGAGACAGCCTATTTCTGGGTCTTTTTTTGTGCAAAATAAATTTCTATGTTATTTAAGCCACCATTATTTTTCAGTTGTATGTAGCCAAACTTAACTAATGCACCTTACTTGTCGCCCCCACCCCACCCCATAAACCCATTCTTCTCAGTAAAGGGCAATTTCATTCTCCCTCAGGCCAAAAACCCTGGAGTCAATATTAATGACTTGTTTTCTTTCTTATGCCACAATCTTTCTACCAGCAATTCTCGGGAAGGTTATCAGGGATTTGGGCTCCTTCTAGCTCTTTACTTTGCCAGCCCCAAGGCGTGGTCCTCATCCTCATGGGCCCACATGGCTGCTAGAACTACAGCCATCATCTCTGAATTCCAGGCAATACGTAGGAGGAAGAGAAGGGAGAATGGTGTATACCTTCCCTTTTAAGGAGACTTCCTAAAAGTCCACACACTTAAGTCGTGCATCTCATTGGCAGAAGTGTAGTCATATGGCCACATCTGTCTGCAAGGGAGTTTGGGAAATGTCATTTAGATGTTGTGTGTGACCCCTAAATAAAATTGGGATACTGTTACTAGGGCTCTGAATGAATGTTAAAGTAGGCTGTCAACAGTCTGTTCTCCAGAGTTTGGAGTTTGATTTTGGAAAAAAATGAGTTCTAGTCTTATCTCTGGCACTATCTAGCTGTGTGACTTTGAGCTAAGATTCCATCACTAAACCTCTATTTCAGCTGCCAAAGAAAAGAATTGGACTGAATGATTTTTAAGTTCCCTTCTAACTGTAACATTGCATGAGTCTTTGAATTTGTCATATTGTAAGGTAAGTATAGTTTTCATAAAAGAGGTAAGTCTTGAAGATTATGCAAAAAGGTGTCTATCAAATGTCTTAAAATTGATTTTTGTAATTGAAAGATTCATTTCAAACTTGTTCATGAATACAATTCCATTCTTCTATTTTTCAGAATGCTTTCTGCATATAGGCATAGATGATTTTAACATATGCTTGAAAAGAAGCGTATGAATTACATAAAACTAGCATGTGCTGAATAAACTTGATATTTATTTTATAATAAAAAATTTAAATAAAAATATGAGTAATAAACTATCCCATTCCTTACTTCATATATACATTGGTTGTAGTCTCATTTACCAACTTTTGACTTATTTAAAAAATGCACTATAGTACACGTGTTCAAATCCACACACTGCTGCTTATCTCCCATACACATTAAAGTCTATGGCTTCAATGGGTGTGCAATTGGGAGGACAATCAGTACACAAATAGGTGTATAGTAATGCAGAAAGTAACTACTCTGAGAGGAGCTTTGTGTGCTTGATTGGGAGGGGAAGCAGGCTATGTGGAGAAGGGGCCATTTGAGGTGAGCCTAGCAGGCCTCAATGGGTCTGGGTGGGAGATGTCAGCTACAAATGCATTCTGGATGAAAGACAAGAGGTCAGGCGACAGATCCAGTTCAGCTGTAGATGAGGTATGGTGGCACAATTGAAAGCTCATGGTAGTTCGCGTCGAGTAGACCTCTGACTGAACCCTGAATCTGTCAGTTGCTAGCTGAGACCTTGGGCAAGTCATTGAACCTATTTGGGCCTCGTTTTCCCCACCTGCCTCCTCAGAGGAGCTAATACCATCCTCTTCATAGGGTTGTTGTCTGTATTGAGTGTATTTATGTCCTGTCATCCGCAGTAATTTATGTAAAAGTACCACATGGCATGGTACTCTGTGCTTCCATAAGTAGCAGGCCCCTTCTCCTATATGGATAATCAGTATTGTCCCTCATACCTTTTCAAGCTGTCAAATCTTATTGTCCTCATTAGCAGCATTTGCTTTGCATTTTATATTAAGTCTGATTCTGTCTCCCTACAAATACAGTGATGTGCTGAAAAACAACTAACATTTTTATGGAAAAGCAGTTGCATAGTGAGAGTGAGGAAGGGCTATAACTTAGTGGCCTGGTAATTGTGGCATCTTTGCTCCCAGAAACCACCATTAAGTATGAGGAGTGCCTTGGGCCACCCAGCAGAACTTCCAAACTCGAAAACTGCTCTTCTCCCAGACACCCACCCTCTCCTTTCTCTTTACTCCCCTTCACTCCCATCACCCAGGCTTGTCAAATTTATTGCATTCCATCCACTTCTCCTGACTGTTCTTCCAGCATCCACACTTGCCCCTTTCTCAATCCATTTCCCACACAACAGCTTGAATATTTTCAGAACTGATCCGATCGTGTCAGTCTCCAACCTACAGTCCTGCACTGATTTCGGATCCAGCCCTCCCTTCCCCAGTCTCATCTGGTGCCTTCCCTCCCTTCGCCCTGAGGCTCCAATCACACTGCCCTTCTTTTGCTGCTTAGAAGGGATCTTAGTTCCCATCGTTTCAGGACTTTGGCACGTACTCCTCCATCTTCTAGAATGCCCATCCTCAAATGTACAACCAGTAACTTTTTATCCTTTTAGATTCAAATTTAATCACCACCTCCTCAGGGAAGACTTTCTTGACCCTTTAGAGTCTGTCAAGCTTCCAACCTCCCTCCCCACTTCATGTCTTCTCATAGCATGGAACATTTCTCCTTCAGGGTCTTTTCCTTGTTTGCAAGTCTATATTTATTTATATGATTAGTTCCATACTTGGTGTCCACCAGCAGTCAGAAGCTCCATGCATCTCTGGCTCCTAGGGACAGTGCCTGACACATGATAGGTGCTCATTTGATATTGTTGGGTCAGGATGGAGTCTGGGACCTTGGTGCCTCCTCCTGCCACTGTTAGCTATCAGCTTCTGACCTCTCTGAATGAGTTTCTGGAGGGCCTGCACATCCTTTAACAACTCCTTCATCCACTTTATTAATTGGTGCATTTATTCAACTATTTTTCACTGAATGTGCATAGACACCAGGCACTGTGCTTGGTGCTAGGACTACACTGGCAAATAAACCGATTCCTGGCCCCAAAGAGCCAGGGGCACTCAGAAGGCTTTAAGTTAGGCGAGCAACATGGCTGGATCAGTGATTTAGAAAGACCACCCTGGCTTCAGGGAGGAGGATGGGTTGGAGGCGTCAGGCTGGAGGCAGGGAGAGCCAGACGAAAGGCTGGGCCAGAGATTCAGGCTAGAGATGATGAGGCCTGACAGGGGTCCTGGCTGTGGCGATGGAGAGAAGGAGCACTTACAGGAGGTACATAGGAATCACAGGCCTAGGAGTGTGAATGTGGGCAGAAGGAGAGAAGGGGGCCTAGGATAAGCCCTAGGATCCCAGCTTGGTGGTGTCATCAGTCAGGTAAAAAGAGAAAACATGGGATCAGGAAGGAAGAGAGGAGAGCTGGAGGAAGTGAGTTTAGTAAAACTTGGTTTCCCAAACCATTTAACAGCTTCTATTTCTAGAGTGTGTATTATTCACCTGCAGCTTCATTCAGAAGAGACTCTAATGTTAAAAATCATCAACTTGACTCTTTTGTGTGCTTTAAATGTACGTACAGTACAATTCACAGTGTACATGTCTATGAATTTTGACAAATGCATAGAGTTGCAGAAACACCACCACAGTCAAGAGACAGAACAGTGTTGTCGCGGTCCCTTATTCCCCCAAAGTCCCTCATTCTTTTGTAGTCACATCTTTTCTAATCCTTAACTCCTGACAACTATTGATCCTATAATTTTGCCTTTTCCAGAATGTTACACCATTGGAATCATAGAGTATGTAGCTTTTGAGTCTGGCTTGTTTTACTTACCATCATGCATTTGATTCACCCACATTATGTTTAGCAAGAGTTAGATTGATAGTCTTGCTGAGTAGTATTCCATTCAGTGGATTTACCACAGTTTATCCATTCTCCAGTTTAAGGGACTTTTTATCTCCCACTTTTGAAGATTACAAAGAAAGTTCCTAAAAATCTTCACGTACAGGTTTCTGTGTAAACATAGGTTTTCATTTCACTTGGGTAACTTCTGGTAGTGGGATTGCTGGCTTGTATGGGTTGTATGGTAAGTTTAACTTCATAAGAAAGTATCAAACTCATTTCCAAAAGTAGTTGTACCTTTTTGTGTTTCTATCAGCAATGTTTGAGGATTACAGTTGTTCCACATCCTTACCAGCAGTTTGTACTGTGAGTTTTTTATTTTATTTTTTTTAATTTAACCATTTTAATTGGTGTGTAGTGGTATCTCAATGTGCTTAAAATTTGCATTCCCTAGTGACTAATGATGCTGAGCATCTTTTCATGTGCTTATTTTTCATCTGTATATTTTCTTTGATGAAGTATCTGTCAAAATCTTGTGCACATTTAAAAACTTTGGTTGTTTTCTTTTTATTAAGTTGTAAGACTTCTTCATGTATTCTGAATAGAAGTCACTTGTTGGATATATGATTTGCAAATATTTCCTCCCAGTTTTTTCAGTCTTTTAACAGTCAGTATCTTTTACAGAGCAAAGATTTTTAATTTTTGATGAAGTCCAATTTAACAATTTTTTCTTTTATGGATTGTGCATTTGGCATCATACCTATTTTCTTCTTTACCTAACCCAAAGGCACAAAGATTTTCTTTTAGGCTTTTTTTCTAGAAGTTATAGCTTTGCATTTTGAGCCATTTTGAGTTAATTTTTGTATAGCATGTGAAATACAGATCAAAGTTCATTTTTTTGCATATGTATGTGCAACTGTTTTAGTACTGCTTATTAAAAAACTATTCTTCTGGGCCGGCCTAGTGGCACGATGGTTAAGAACTGGCTTGGGACGCCAGAGGGCCCCGGTTCGGATCCCACATATGAGGGCCAGTGACACTGCCCTCTACAGCTAAGATGCTGAACAACAGCTCGACCTGGAGCTGGGCTGCCGTGAGTCGCCGGTGACGGCGTAGGCTGCAGCCCCTGTGGCAGTGGGCTGCCATGGGCTACCGTGTGTAGCCAGCAGCCACAGTGAGCGGCCAGCAGCCGCGGTGAGCGGCCGTCCAGAAGCCAGTGACTGATGTGCCTCGCCCGGGAAGAGCGCAATGATGGTGCCAACTTGGGCCAGTGAAGCAACGTCCTCCACAACTAGACTGAAGAACAAAAACGACAGCAACTTTTCTGTTCCCCTTCCCCCAATTCCCCAGCACTGTTCCCATCCCCCAATTCCCCAATAAAATCTTTAAAAAAACAAACAAACAAAAAAACCCGATTCTTCCTCCACTGGATTGCTTTTGTACCTTTGACAAAGTCTTTTGGCCATATGTGGATTTCCATAGAATATGGAATATTCTATTCCATTGATCTATGTGTATATTCTTTTGCCAATACCACACTGTCTTGGTTACTGTAGCTTTACAGTCAGTTTTAAAATCAGATAGTGAGTCCTCTAACTTTTTCTTTTTCAAAACTGTTTTGGCTATTCTAGTTCCTTTGCCTTTCCAAATAAATTTTAGAATCAGTTTGTGGGTTTCTATTGAAAAATCTTGCTGAGATTCTGATTGAAGTTGTGTTGAATTTATAGATTAATTTGGCAAGAATTGACAACTTAAAAATATCGAATCTTATAAACATGATACACCTCTTCACTTATTTAGATCTTTGATTTCTCTCATTAGAGTTTTGAGGTTTTCAACATACAGATTTTGCACATATTTGTCATATTTATATCAAACTATATAATTTTAAGTGCAATTATAAATAGTACTTTAAATTTCTAGTAAATTTCTAGCAGTTTATTGCTAGTGTATATAAATACAATCAATTTTTTTATATTGGGTTGTTGGAAAAGTCATGACGCATTTTTGCAACGAAAAACGGAAAAAATATGTCATGACTTTTTTGACACCCCAATATATACATCCTGCAATTTTGATAAATTCACTTATTAGTTCTAGGAGCTTTTTGGGGAGGGGGGCGGGGTGTAGGTTCCATGGGATTTTCTGCATGGATGAGACAGATTACTGTGAGAATGTGCAAGAAGTAAATAATTCTAGCAGAGGATTCAGAGAAGGCTTGTGGGAAAAAGCGACACTTGAGCTAGGTATTAAATCATTCATAGGAAAGAGTATGAAGATGAAAAAGAGGGATAAGTG